ACCGAACAAGAGCGAACAAACTTTTATTCGTGTTCGGCTCGTTAAACTTAACGAACGAGCCGAACCCGAATTGTTTGCGAAAAAAGAACAACGAGACAGATTGACAGCCCTAGTCAACACTCTATTTATACCTAGAATCATTGTTTTTGACTTTAGCGAAGCATAGGGAATACCATTATATTTTGCGTGAGGTTTTCAATGTATTACTTCCTGTCCTAGTATGACTCTAGTTTATACCAAGAATCATTGAGGTGTTCAGTGTTTTGCTTCTTGTAATTATCAACATTTTAGTTTATAACTGAAATGATTGCTTTGCGTTTTTTTCGGATTATGTGGAATGCTGTGATGCCTTGCGGGCTCTTCCACAAATACTCTTGTACTGAAGAGTTTACACTTTTTTAAAGGGAATCTTGATTTGTACTCTAGTATTTGTGCAGGAAGGTTCCTGTGATCCTCTAAATGGTTTCGCTCTAGTACTTATACCTCATGAAAATTTTGTGTTTTGTTCTTGGACAAGATACTTGCTGTTTTTTTTTTTTTTTTTTTTTTTTTTTTTTCCCCAATTTGTCACTTTTATATTCAAAATTAGCCACTCTCTGGAATCTGCCGTAGTTGGTCTGTTTAGAATAAATAAATAACCAAATTCCACTAATGAATCAACAATTTATATTGCGAGAATAAGGATCTTTCATGTTAAACTAGATTCATTAGCAGTTCTCTGACCCTGACCGGATCATTTGATAATTCTTCTTCTTTCAGACAATTTTTTCTGTTCGTTAGAATTATCCCATCAAGGATCGCATCCAAAACAATTAGGCTTAGTATTTCCAGTTTTTGAGATATTGAATGGTTGTAATACTAAACTTTCTATTTACGTTGTTTTCATTTAAAGAAGTTATTCATGCATTCTAGAAGATTCATGTCATCTTCATTTTTAAGATTATTTGTGGTATTACTACTTACCAAGAGCAAGCAATAGGAGAAACATCTTTGGTGGTTATTGTCATTTTTCTAATGATTTAAATTTAGAAGCAGCCGTAAGTCTGATGACATTATAGGAATTGATGCCCTTCAATACATTTGATTGCAACTGCTGAATTTTCTGTGTATCTAAAAAGGGAAACCCGTGAATTTAGAAGTTGTAATTATATACTTTTGTCATTGTTCCTTTTTTCCCCAGAAAATATCCATTTTACCCGACAATTCTTTTTAATTTCATTGCACTTCTATATTCATGCACACAGTTTAATTTGTGTAAAATTACTTAGGAATTAAGTCATAGTGCAAAATGGAAATCACGTCCTTATAACTTATAATAAAATGACTTAATTTAATTTATAGGTTGGAGTTGTTGCATGGCTACCTGTTCCTGTTCAACAATACAACTTTTTCTAATAATTCATAGACAAAATATTGCTTGCATGTTGTTATTAGACTTTAGCAAGGTTTCTGGACCTGCATCTCACCCTCTATATATATTCAATAATGAAATCGTGTATGGAGTTTTGGTTTTTCATCTTGAATTTGTCCATTAAAATCATTAAATCATAATCAACTATTTACGAAGGCTATCCACTCGCATGATCAAGAATGAAAAAAATTTGCTCAATTATTTTCTTCTTATATTCTAAATCATGCATGTCCTTGTGTTAAATCGTCTGTTTATATGCTGGCAATAGAGCTCATTATTTAGTTTGCTAAATTCTCGTTGTTTTACAGGTTCTTAATGGAGTTTCTGGCTTAAGGCTTGTCTCTTTCTCTAGTCAAAGGAAAAGTTTCCCATTTGTCCGACTGCAGTCAGCTCCCATGCGGTTCCATGTTTCTTGCGCTGTATAAAATCCAACCTTGCTTCTAGTAAATTTTCCTTTGTTTGATTGTCCTTTTGATTATTTTCATTTATGAATCTTGTGCTTGGAACCAATTTTTCATCTGTTCTTTTGGTTGGCCGTTCCTTCATTATCATGAGTTTAGTTCCATGTTATTGTAGCTTTTATAAATATAATACCATTATTGAAGATTTTTACCGAAGACTGAGAATTGGGATTTGTGTTGTTGTTGCTGCACGAACACTACCTTGAGCCATTTGGGATAACTTTTTTGCTTTTTGTTTTCTATTTTTGTTTTGTGTGTTTTGTTTTAATTTGTTTTTTTAACATAAAATAAGAACATGGTTGGTAATCTTATAAAATTTTTGTTTATATGTATGTGTGTGTGTGTGCGCGCGCGTGTGTCTATATATATATATATATATATATAAGATTTCAAAAAAAAAAAAATCAAAATTTTTTACATGTTTTTAATATTTTTAATTATTTAAGTTCATTAGCTATTTAAATAACATGATAAAAGTTTTTATATATCATAATGTTTTTAATGAGAAAAATATCTTTTGAATAAATATAATTAGGTATGAAATAAAAGTATTGTTCATATTTTTTGAATTTATTCAACTGTTTATTAGATATATTTATAATGGAACAAAACTTATTTGTTTTTTATTTTCTTTTTAAAAGTTGGAGGGATATAGCACAAAGAATGTGATTTTAGAATTATACAAGACATGATAACTTTAAAAGTCATTATAGAATTATTTTCTTTTTAAAAGTTGGAGGGATATGCGCGAATTTATTAATTAGACTTACTATGAATGCGATTTTAGGATGAGTGTGGGATAGGTAGATTATTTTTCCTACTAATATTTGATATTGTCTAATATCTACGTCAACTCTTTCATCTAAATTTAGTTTTTTGTCTTGGTTCTGTTGGAGTTTCATACAATTTGCCCTGTCATTTTGGTCTCTTTTAGTTGGTTTATAACATATCTCTTTTTGGAGAGGAAATCTCTTATTGAGATTAAACCGCATTTATTCCTTAGTGCATAATTGTTTGGTGCATGTCGTCTAGTTAATTTTCTGTCGGCACATGTTGAGCATAAATAAGAGTTATTTTCATTTTTTTAAAATAAAATATCTATCAACTTTAATGTGTTTGATACAATCATGTTGTATAGGATTGTGTGGATTGATAATCTTGTTGTTATGATAATTTTTTCAATCTCTTTCCACTTGATTTTTAAATTCTCTAATGTAATTTTGACACATAGAAGCTCGCAGATCCATTGGTCAATAGCTCTAAATTTGATTTTAGCATTTGATCTTGAAACCACAAGTTTCTTTCTTCTCCAAATTATATGATTTACTTTTAGAATGTACAATACCTTAAAGTAGACTTTTTATCCACAAGTGATTCAACAATCCATATATGTGTATCTTTTAATTTGTAGCGTATCATGTCGTGTATATTTTTTTTTCTTGAACTTGATTTGAGAATCAAAGGATTCTATAAGCGGCTTGAAGGTTTCTCTCTTTAGGTTTGTGTGTGAATTGATTAATTAGACTTACTATGAATAGTTCGTGCTCGGCTCGCTAAACAAACGAGCCGAGCACGAGCACATTTTTTGTGTTTGAAATATAAACGAGCTGAGCACGAGCTGTGGTATTTTTTAAAGAGCCGAACACAAGCTGAGCCAGAGCTCGCTCATTTTTGGCTCATTTACACCCCTATTCGTCTACAAAGAATTCAGTCACCGCTGCTTGTTTCTCTCCATTTGCCAGGAGACCCTCAAGGGTCTTCTTTGACTTCCAGGTCATCTTTTTTTTTTCATTAAAAAAATAAAAAATTTAAAATAGAACTCGATCACCGCTGCTTGATTTTTTATTTTTTTATTTTGTGGGGAAATGTAAGTCATAATGTTAGTCTTATCACATTTTCTTCGTGATTTCATTAGGGTTAAGCATAGAATCATGAACGAAAAACAATACTTTTTGCTCATTTTTTAAATATTAATTACCTATTAATTTTATTCGAACCAAAATAATTGTATTTATATTCGTTCCAAATTGCATACGCTTGTGAAAGATGCCATAAACTCATGCACAGCAAATTTATTATAACTGATCATTATCTTATCGAGCAGGCAAAACCAGAGACCGTTGGGAAAGTTTGCGAGATAGTGAAGTCGCAGCTGGCTCTTCCTGATGGCACCTCCGTCACCGGCGAATCAACATTTGCAGCACTTGGAGCCGATTCTCTTGACACGGTGCTCTTTATTTCATCTTTTTCCTTTCCTGCTTCTATTTAAGTTATAGGATAAAGCTATGCTTCTGACATAAACTTACAAATAGACTCTGGAAGTTTTATATGCATAGCACAAAATTCTTATATATTTTCAAATCTGGGGCCCAAATTTTGATATTTATTTATATGGCATTTGAATCTTTAACATAATATCAAAACGAATATTAATGTAACATTTTTCAAGCGAGTAAAATGCTCCCATAACTAATTATATGTGTTTATTTTAATTCTAAGTTTATAGAAGTGTTAAATTAATCCGCACACTATTTCCTGTTAGAATTTTGGGATTTTTTTAATATTATATTAAAAAGTTTGGAGATAAAATTGGCACCTTTATTGAGTGGGGGATTAAATGGCCTCCTTACAAATAATTTGGGGATCATTTTGACATTTTTCTCCTTTTCAAAGTGAAATACATTTTCTATGCATATTCTGATTGTGATATTGAAGTATTGTAAAATTAATGCCAAAGTTTATTTCAATGATATACAAATACATAAGAATTGTAGGGCAGGTATGGAAATCCTTCAAATAAATTTAGTTTTCTTTATTTCTTGGCGCCATATAATACTTTCTCCCATCTTATGTAAATGCTGGCTAAACAGTTGCAAACATCCTCATCACCAATGCATAAGATTCCATGAAATTCCAAAGTGCAATTTCGTATATAACATTCAAATGTTGACAATTTACAAACTCAATACTCTAATTTTGGTCAACGGTCAAAATTAACAACAAAACTCAACTATTTGATCATGGCAAGCACAAATCAAAGTTATGATCATTCATAAATCGATTTAGTTGTTACTTTTGTAAAAATTGAAAATTTATATTTTATGCATACGAATTACTTCATTCTGAACAGTTGTCCTGACTAATGGAAAGTCCTCCTGTAGGTTGAGATTGTGATGAACCTTGAGGAAGCATTCGGCATCAGTGTGGAAGAGGACAGTGCTCAGGGCATCGCTACCGTTCAGGATGCTGCAGATTTGATCGAGAAGCTTGTGGAAGCTAAGTCAAATTAGGGAAATATAAATGACTTTTTAATGGATGGATTTAGCCTTCTTGGTCTTATTACCCCATGCTTCGAAGTTATCTATTTATGCAAAATCATATTTGATTGAATTACGTTATCTGTATGCCTTCTGCTTTATTTTAAGAACCATTCAGTGGACGCGTTAAGAACTATTTTGTTACATCCATATTTTTCATTCTATTGGTGCAACTTTTGTTTTAATATAAGTTTTTGAATGTAATGATTTGGTTGTTTTTATTAGTACTAGAGGGTTGTCGGAAACTGAACAATTTTAGCCAATACTTTAAGTTTTTGTGTTTTTTGGGGAAAGTTGAGTCTTATAATGAGTTCGGGGGCGTTTGTGCGGTGTCACATTATCTTTTTTGTGTTTGACATTATTGTATTTTGCCTTTCTTTTAGAAAATTATAGTTGAAAGCTGTGTTTTGCAACAAAAGTTGAATCAAGTATTATGGTGGCTGCTAGAAAACTACGGTCTGATTTTTTATGGATCTTAGTGACAATTAAGTTGGAAATTAGTGGTTGAATTGTGTTTCGAACTTAAGCCTTAATTGAAGATAGAATGTCCTACCAATTCTTTCATGGGTCTTACACAAGTAGTTCAAGTAAGACGCAAGATTATTGAGCATGAATGAAATCCTTTAGGTTAGCTTGATTGATTTGATGTAGGTAAAATGCTTTATAAAGTGATGGGTTGATTAGATTTTTTTAATGGAAATTTACATACATACCACACAATTGTTATGTATTTAATGGAAATTTACGTACATACCACACAATTGTTATGTATTTATATATCTAACATCTAAACTTTCATTATTTATATTATTTTGATGTCATAAATTTATATATGAAAAAGGTGGATTTCACTTTTAAAAAGGGACTTTAATGCAAATATGTGATATTAAAGATTAGAGTGGTACGCACATAAATATAAAAATTTAGGTGTTAGATACGGAATTGCGGTATCTATGTTAAGTGCCCTATTTTTGTATTGCTTATTTAGATTCTCTCAAAAACTTAAAAATAGTTAATTTTACTTTATCTATCATGACTTATTTTTTAAATCAATAATGCCATTATTTGTTGATTTTTTT